GAGATCAAGTGATTGAAGTTGCTTAACAATGTTAGCAGACCACCTCTTCCGCTACTAGACATGTGCGATTCGTTTCGTTACGAATCGAAATTCGTACGAATTTTTCTGAAATTCGTAGATTCGTAAGCATACGAAATCCGAATTGCAGTTTCCGAATTTATATCCGAAATACGAAATTCCGTTAACGAATTTCGGATCCAAATTTCTTTGAAACAGGAACTAATATTACCCCTGTAAATGAGGTTGAACAACATGACAAGATTTTTTTTAAATCCGAAATACGGATCCGCTGCTGCTGAGGGTTGAATTACAATACAGACAGGAAATACGAAATTCCGACGTATTTTCGTTCCATTACGAACATTCGTCATATATTGAAGTTAAAAAGCAAAGTACATTTATATTGGAGTTGATGGTAGTTTTTTTTAAAGTCCGAAATACGAAATTCGGATACGGAATCCGTTAACGGAATTCGTATTTCGTTTTGGTTGACCAATCAGAGGTTCTCTTCTGCTGATGAGAGTTGCATTACAATACAGCCAGGAAATACGAAATTCCGTTGACGTATTTTAGTTCCGTTACGAACATTCGTTATATTGAAGGTAAAAAGCAAAGTACATTTATATTGGAGTTGATGGTAGTTTTTTTTTAAGTCCGAAGTACGAAATTCGGATACGGAATCCGTTAACGGAATTCGTATTTCGGATAAAAAAACAACTACCACATCGACTCCAATATTAACAAAGGTATTTTTGCGTTTTAACTTCATCATAATGAATGTTCGTAAAGTTACGAAAATGTGCCGAAACTAACGAAAATCCGTATTTCGTTCGTTTCGGATACGAATTACGAAATACGAAATAATGGATATTACGAAACGGAGCAAATTTTTTGACGGCGCACAAGTCTATCCGCTACCATTAAGGTAATTTTCCTTTCTTTTACTACTCAGGACCCCAACCACTTCTATATGCTTGTAGAAATTGTTATCATATTTGAAGTAAAACAAGTTTACCATGATTTTGATTAGGGTTGCATAAAGTATAATCAGTTTCATCCTTTCCTTTGTCAGCAAGGTCTAGTTGGCAATGTACATAATTATGTCAACTAGCCACTCCACAATCTTACAGTTTTGACATACTTTCTTCTTTTTGCTTATACCTCAGGTTAACATTAGTTAAAGTTTCTATAATAACACAACGTTTTCTGCAGACATATATGCATTTGTTGCTGCCTAATGTTGTGCAGATCCGTCATCTGCAAAAATTATTTTTTTTTAAACGCAACGCTTTAAAAGCGGTTTAAACTCACCTGTGTCTTTGCAGCGCGCTCCCGTCTGAAAATCTGAAAATTCTCGGGCAGCCGCAAAGCATCCTGGGGCGGGCGCATGCGCAGTTTAGATTTTCGTCCGGGAGACGAGGAGAGACACAAGGTAAGTATATGGACGGCATGCACCCGCATGCAGACACCGTGGGACAGGAAGTGCCAGCAAGGACAGAGGAGTCAACGCTGGATCGGAGACCCGCAACAGCGCTGGAGGGACAGATGAAAACGACAGTAAAGAAGAAGATCGGATTAAGAGACGTCATTTAAGGTAAGTGCTTTAATTAACATTGGGGGAGGGAAAAATATGTTTGACTTTAATGTCGCTTAAAATTCAAAGTGACATTAAACCTTCGCTGTTTTTTTTTCATTTACTTATTTATGGAGGCTATATTTACTATGGAAATATGTTCTTTTATCCTTTATCTTTTTTATTTACTCGTTCTCAAGTGGTATCCAAACCGCAAGCCCCCCCCTATGGGTGCTTTCACAGCTAGCCGACTGCTGTGAAAGGTACCCGTACATGCACAGTCATGGCTGTGCCTTCACCTAGCTGTGTGCATCCATAGAGACACACACAACATGCGGCTGGCCACGCCCCCACCATTGCAGTCACAGCTTGACTGACGGCAGAAGTAGCCCATGGCTTCTCTACCCTCAGTACTCTCCCCTGCAACCAGGACGTTAAAGGAAACCAGTGTATTTTCCTGGTCGCGGCGGAGGAGAGGAGTCGCTGCAGGTAAGTGTGGGGGGGACGGGGTTTTAGGAAAGTGCTGGGTATTTTTTGCCTTAATGCAGAGAATGCCTTTACTACTATTTTCATCTGGAAAAACACATTGCTTGAATTTTGGAGGAGGCAGCAGGATTGCAATCTGCTGAAATATGAGTAGTGTGTGGCACTATCAGCAGCCCTTGTTCGACAAAGGTTGATCTTACATAGTATTTGAGGTTGAATAAAGACATTAGTCCATCAAGTCCAACCTATTAGGATCTCATTCTAGGAGAAATCTTTCATTTGACTTTTGTTGAAGGAGCCCATCCAAAAATTCTTGGCCAAACAGTAACTACAGCCAATGAGCTGTAGTTACTGTTTTGGTATTCTGACAGTGGCACACCTGCCACCTGGGCTATATAACATAGCAGTGGTTCGAGTACAGTCAAGTACAGTCCCATGGCAGAATCCAGGACAGCTGACAGGTATGCAACTTGCACCTTTATCCCTATACTAAACAAAACTAAATACTAGGGATGTCCTGATACTGATACAAGTATCGGTATTGGGACTGATACAGGGCATTTTCATGAGTACTTGCACTTGTGAAAATGCCCCGATACTAAAGGCCGATACCAGCCCTTTAAATTTTCAAACAAGAGCAGTTGCCTGAAGTCCTGCGCTTACTAGGAACCTCAGGCAGCTGTCTTTGATAGTGCCAGTCCGGTCCAAACATCACCCACCTGTTCAGCCCTGGAGAGCCTGGCTCCCACCATCAGAGCCCGGGAGAGTCCGGCACCCACATACAGCCCTGGGTGGCTCTGCATGCAGCCCTGGTGGGCTCTGCATGCAGCCCTGTTGAGACCCAAACGCAGCCCTGGTGAGATCTGCATGCAGCCCTGGTGAGACCCAAATGCAGCCCTAATGAGACCCAAATGCAGCTCTGGTAAGATCTGCACGCAGCCCTGGTGAGACCCAAATGCAGCCCTGGTAAGATCTGCAGGCAACCCTGGTGAGACCCAAATGCAGCTCTGGTGAGATCTGCACACAGACCTGGTAACACCCAAACATTACCATTCTCCATGGCAACCGGTAACAGAGGACTACAAATCTCAGCAATCCATGATTGCTGGTGCCATTCTCCATTGCTGTATAATTATGGATTGATGGGATCTGTAGTGCTCTATTGCTGGTTGCCATTCTCCATTGCTGAATAAGCATGAACTGAGTTACAGTTCATCATAATTATAAATACATACACATACTACAATAAAAAAAAAGAACTCAAGTAAATAATTATTGTCATTTTTAAATGAATGGGCTTGTTGGGGAAACTGTGCTGATCTGCTTTATCTATACACATAAAACATACTGAAGTCTCCCTGTAAATGTGCTCAGTTACAAGTTGCTATTAAGTTACATTCCATTCGATATAAATATGATACACAGTCCTCCCTCCAGTATTAACCCCTCTACAATGAACACAAATGTCTTCTCCGGAGCTTTACTCTGCCTTACTTAGCACAATTATGGACTAAATAAATATTAATTGACTAAATCAAGTTGTTTGTATTAGGAAAGGTGGAGAGGCATTCTGGAGTAAAGTGTTATGCGTCTGATACAGTGGATTATGTGAAATAGTCTGGATATTATATCACAACATTGAACACAAAACAACAGGGCTCTATGCACTGACTGCACACCAGGCCATTTATTCCTGTACTATTGAAATTAAGCCTGCCCCTGAAAATGCCCCTGAAAAAATATCAAAAGTAAAGAATTCTTGTGGTTTTCACCATTTTTGCCATTATGTTAAAGTGGAACCCTTGCTAAAAAAAGTGTTTCTTTTGAATAGGGTAAGGAATGCTTAGAAACCCTGTCAGTTTCTTATTGCTGTTTGTATCCCAGATAAGGTGGCGACCAAGACTTGAAGCAATGTGGGTTTGTAGTGAAAGACACTTAGAGCACTACTAACTCCTTGTTCTTTAGTACTGCCAGGAAGATTACCACCTCTGTCAGTATTTTGTTCACTGTGTCCCCATAGGTTGTATTCCCCTCACTTCCTCTCTCGAAGACAGTGGGCATCTGGATAGGAAGTGATGGGATATCTGCCCTACATGGACACATACAGCAATAAAACCTTGAAAGAGCTTCTAAACCTTCCCATTCTATTTAAACTAAAATGGAATTACACTTCAGTTAAAATGCACCCTATGAAGCCAAGGTATCGTGTTAAAGTTATATTAGAAATAATAAAGAAAATACAAGGAATGTTTTCAAGTAATTTACAATACTCACCAACCCTCCAGAAAAATGTCTACGAAATTGAGTGAGTTCAGAGAAGGGTTACAAAATCCATAAAGGGGATGGAAGGCCTAAATTATGTAAATTGCCTCAAGAAATTAAACTTATTCTCCTTAGAAAAGAGGCGATTAAGAGGGGACCTAATTGCACTTTTCAAAATGATTAATGGGGACCACAATATCAGAAACAAATTGTTTACACCAAAAACTATATTAATGACATAAGGACACAACAAGTCAGTAGTATCTACTAACAGCATTGATAAATTCAAGAAACTTCTAGATAAGGTTCTTAGTTCACTAAATATAGAAGGTTATGGGAACTACTAGAGCCAATTAAATATAGAAAAACACACACACAGACGCACACATACACATAGGTTCAACTGGATGGACCTGAGTCTTTATTCAACCTCACCTACTATGTTACTATGTAACTATGGTGACGAAACTGCAAAAAAACAACAACAATTGCATGATAAATCTGTATGATTCCTACGTAAAATACTTTGACTGTATAAGATAACAGGGAAGAGACATCACTGATAATCTTGTCTAGTAATATTTTTTTAGTAAGTTAATGGAAGCCAGGTTAATATTTAGCTCAGCGCTATATTTGAGTGTGCACCTTTTAACGGCACATTTATTTAGTCTGGTTCAGTCTCACTTAGACACAGCTCGAATACAAGCTAGAAAATGGCAGGGGCGAATAAGTGCCTCAAGTACTCTATGTTTGCATTCAACTTCTTATTCTGGGTGAGTTCTAAATTACAGTAATTATTGTTGCTAATTATCTATTCAGATGAGCTTAATTAATAAAATACAGAGATCGAAAATACAAGCGCTTTTCTGCAATTGCTTTCATTGGATTTCTTATTTGTCAAACCTCTTGCTTTTTTAAAATGTTTTTAATGTATTGTATGCTAAAACTTTTACACCTTTTTTTCTACTAATATATATCTATATATACAGATATATAGATATATATATCTGTATATATCTATATATATATAATCTATATATATAGATATGTATATCTATATATATGTAAATATTATTTCATAGTGTCATATTGTTGATTTTCTGCATTAAATGGTAACAGCTACTGCGGTTGCGTGCTTTATTTTTTTAAGTTCACTATAGCCACAGCAGATTCAGAGAAGTTGCATTAACCATAGTATTTTTGTGACAGCAGCAGAGTGTTGTACTATTAGCTATTAGTCATTGTATATTTACTAATCCTTGCAGTCATACGTTTCAAATTTGCTAAAGTTTCTATAGGCAAGTATTAATCATTGTTGTGTTACAAATGGCTCAGAATTGCAAGTTATTCCTCACAACAATTATGAAAATGTATGAAATGATTTCTAGACTGAGGGCCCTTTCACATTTCTATTGCATGGATTTATGTGCATTTTCATGCAGATTTTTTCATACGTTATGCAAAGTGAGGGAGAAACATTCAGGAAAAGGATTTTCTTTGGTGCAGATGCATGTAAAATGTACAAAACTGCATGGTGCATACATTTTTGTTTGGTTGCTTTACATTTCAATGGGACAGTTAAAGCAATCAGATAAAAATGTTACATATCTTGTGTTTTAATACACACTGCAGGGCCTAGAATTAAAAGCCACCAGAGTAAGATTTAATTGTAAATGTATTTTCATGCAGTAAAATGTATATGTCTTCCAACAGGAAAATTGACAAGTGTTAATGGACCCAAATATACTGTGAATAATAAGCTAGGAACATAATTAACTGAAAATTATTCTTAATGATACAAATTTGTTAGAATAGACTAAAGTAATCATAATTTAATGCACCACATACTGAGGCTGACTCTCCTTGTCAGTGTGTGTGGGAGTTCCAAGTACAGGCAAAGGGTGCTTATCTGGACATAGGGGTGTAACAAAGGAAAGTCATTTATTTGCAAAAATAAACAAAAGGTGCGAACCTACCTTTATATTTAACAGTCCAGTGCTAATAAATTATTATCAGGGGACTTTGCTCTTGACAGAAGAAAGAAATGTACAGGGTTATTCAGAATAGGGTGAAGAGTTTAGAGAAGGCGGGAGAAGTGAACAATCTAGGACAACATAGCTGATTTGGAAACATTCTCCAATTCAGCTCACTTTCCAGTTCAGCTATTTTGGCCTAGATTGTTCACTTCTCCTGCCTTCTCCAGACTCTTCACCCCTTTGTGAATAATTCAGTTAGTTATACCTGAGCTATATTATGGGGTCTATTCACAAAGTTGCCAAAGGATCTAGCAGTAGATTCAGCTGATCCTTCGGCTAGCTATGGCCCCAGGATCCCTTCGGTTCAGTGGAACCGAAGGGCTGCTGTACGGGCTATTCACTATAGCCCAAACAGCTCCTGAAGTTGGCTGAGCGGCTCAGTCGAGCCGAAGGCATATGCCTCGGCTTGACTGACCAAAGCAGGCCGAAGTTCTCCATCAGGTCCCCTTCTAGTGATTGATAGCAGCAGAGGGTGGGTGCAATAGCTAGCTTGCTATTGGATATTGCAAATGGAAATAGCCAATAGGAATCTAGCTATGCATTCCTATGCTGACTTTTTTTTTATTCTGATGGCAGCAGCTGCTATTGCTTCCTGTGCTATCTGCCATCATTTCAATAGTTTTCTATTTTTTTTCTACTTTTTTTAACTGTTTTTCTATTCTGCTCGGTACCACAGAGGTACCGAGCAGAATAGCCGAGCAGAATGCCGCTCAGCGGCATTCGGCTATTCACTCACTGCTGTTCGGCATCTATGAGAATAGGCCGAACAGCAGCAAGTAGCCTGCCGGAGGTTCGGCTCAGCCGATCCAGATGTTGGATCGGCTGAGTCAAACTCCTTCTGCACTTCGGGTTGGCCGATGTACGGCTGATTCAAGGTAACCTCCAAGTGCTAAGAGATACTTAACATTTCAATGGATAATCGATGTTGTATACCCATGTGCACAGAATAGGTTGATACTCTTGGAAAGCCACTATTTTCTCAGCAATTATATTGGTCGCCCTAGTTTTAGTCGTCTAACAAAGGATTTCTTACTAACAGAAACTCCTAAAGACCATCAGATAAATTCAAACATATAATAGCTAAGTTGCAACTTAATATACTATATGAAATAAGATATATACAGTACTGTGAAAAAGTTTTACACAGGTGTGAAAAATGCTGCAAAGTAAGAATGCTTTCAGAACTATATATTTTTATTGTTTATTTTTTATCAATTTACAACATGCAAAGTGAGTGAACAGAAGAATAATCTAAATCAAATCAGTATTTGGTGTGACTACCCTTTGGCTTCAAACTAGCATCCATTCTTACATTTGCACAATGTCATGGATTTCGTAGGATTAGAGTCAGGTGTACGATTAACCACAAACTGTTGTTCATTCTATTCTCACCAATGACTCATGCACACAGAAATAAGGGGTTGAGCTAGAATATTATATTTACTTGAATCAGAAAAAAATGCAATTACATATGTGGTGTACAATGGGTACAATGGCAGTGTAGTTAATTTACTAAAGGAGTGTTTACTATAGGATGTTCATGTCAGGGGAATCGAAGTAAACAGAGGTAAACCTCCTTTTGTAAATCAATCACAGTGTTTTAGGTATGAAACACAAATACATTTAAATATGGGTCATGTTCAGTCCATTGATGGAATTGTTTTAGTATACTATAGCCACACATTTGTGAACATCTTCGTATATGGCCAAAAGTATGTCTACACTCCTCCAAAAGATTGCATTCAGATGTTTCTAGTGAAGGGTGATGTCAATGCTACAACATACAAAGACAATTGTGATCTTCATACTTTGTAGCAACAGTTTAGGGAAGTCTCTTGTCTGTTCAAGCATGATCATGGCCCTGTGCACAAAGCCAAGTTCATAAAGACATGGTTTAATGAGTTTGGTGTGAAAACATTTAAATGACTTGCGCAGAGCCCCGTCCTCAACTCTGTTGAATACTTTTGTCATGAATTGGAATGCTGATTGCAAGTCAGGTCTACTCATTCAATATCAGTGTCTGAATTTACAAATGCTTTCGGATGAATGGGGATGGATGTTCACTGTCATTCTCCAAAATATTGACATGGCTTCCCTGGAAAGTAGCCCCTACTTGTTATAGTTGCAAAGGGTGGCAAATCCACAATTCAAACTGCAAGAAGCAATTTTTAATTTTTTAATGAAAATGTTCATGCTATGTGAATGGGAACATGTAACAAATATAAAATAGGCCTTATACCAATGTGGCTGCAAAAGTGGAAGTACACTTTTAACCACAGGAACTAAGCTTAAATTCATTAATTAATTGTAGAAAATCTAATAAATGTGACCATCATCAGTTCAGGCACTCTGTGCCTCTACTTAACTATCACCTCAGTTGTAATGAATTTGTAGGGACAGTAGAGTCAGTTTAAAAGGCCTTTCAAAATGTCCTGTCCAGCAACATGGATAGTGAAAACAATAAACATATAATGCGTAAAATTTATTTTAAATGTGCTATTCGCAGGCCTCTACAACATAAAGGTGTAGTGTTTAGGCACTTAAACACAGATATTCTATTTCACTATTTATGTTTACAGTAGAGTTAATTTTAAACTAAAGTGCAAACCTTGGTATCATTTATGCCCAGAGTAATTTATATGAGCCTTGGTAACCATGCAACCAAATAAGCATAATCAAACACATTCTTATGTGTAAAGTAAGACAACATATTTTCTGAAACAATAAAAGAGACGTAGGCAACAGAACTTACATATTTGTTGTAGCAATGGTTTGCAAGCATAACAATACTTGCTTAGCTACATACCTAAAGAGCATGTCAAGCCAAAACATTTTGCTAGTTTTTGGGGAAGAGTTACAAGTCCTGTCAGGCGTTTACTGTTAAAATTAAAGGAGAACTATGAGGTGAGTGATTTTCCTCATAGTTAGAGCCGACGTGTGACAAGGAAACTGTCACATGTCGGCTCTATTGATCAGGAAGTGAGCAAACACAAACCATCGCTCACTCACTTTCTGATCATCTCCCTGCCATCTCCGATCCTCCAGCGCTAAGTGGAGGAACGAACAGAGAGGGGCAGGCACAGCTGGCTCTGCCTCTAGATAGGCGGAGCCAGCTGTCACTCACACAGCTGGGTGGATCTCGACATTATTGCCAGGATCTGTGCTGGCTGCGGCGCTCTCAGTATATAGCGAGCTGTAGCCTGCTATATACTGAGCTTTACTGAGCTTTTACATATACTAATGTCCTCCCATGACCCTTAAGGGAACTAAGGGATAACACGTTTACCCCTTAGTTCTCTTTTAAATAAATAAGGCACCATTGAATCTAAATTCAAAATTGGAAATATTCCCCTATCATCTCAATTTACATTAACATCATTAAATAAAGACATCCTGGATATCTGCAAAATAGTGAAAATCACATCAATTACATAAATATAGCAATCGTTACTGATTATAAATTAAACACAAGTATATGACATCCACCTACAGGAGCCACACTTACCAGAGGGACTGTCAACTAGATTATTGGTAGGTCAGAAATCGCATGTTTGTAAGCAAAGGACTATTCAAAATCCTCTGCCGATATCTGTATAATATTCAAGCCTCACCAGGTAAAGAAGCATTAATCCTCGGATATTTGAGAGCAGAGCAGAGCAGAAACTTGTATAGTGTAATACCACTATATTCAACTAATAAAAAATTACATATAAAATCACTCACATTGCCTAAGTGCATATGTTGCACTATACAAATAAATGGCTGCCCAGTGTGTTAAGTTCTTTACAGTCCCTCAGCGCTTATCCTGTAGAGCGCCAGCAGCCTCAAGCAAACAAGCATTATGTCGTTAGTTAGTCCTGCCCAACTCATTTCATCATTATGATGTCTTCAGGAGCAAGGAAGCAATAGACCCATCACGGTCTATACAGACTTTATTATAACCAATATCCTATCTGTTCTTATATAATACAAATGGCAGCCAGCACCATCTAGTGATACACTTAGAGATCAATAGGCACCATCTACTGACCAGCAAATAATCCCTACATCCTATAAATAAATATAAAAACAATCAAATAACATCAAATGGTTAAGCCCAAATTTATCCATGACAATCAGCTTCTATCTTTCATTTTCACAGCTTAACTGAACAAACCGAAGAGAGAAGCTGATTAAGATCCCTAAACTCATATATTTATAATATAAAGATTACATAAAAAATACTAATAAAACAAAATATATCAACCCCAATGTTAAGACCTTTAGGACAAAACATATCTAATTGATAAATCCAGTAAGTTTCATTTTCTTAAATGCTTTCTTTTCATAATTGCAACCTCTCCAATTTTATACACTCTATGGGGTCTATTCACAAAGCTGCGAGGGCAGCCGAGTGAATGACCGATCAGAAGTGAAGTGAGCCGAACACTGTTCGGCTAATGTGTACCACAGAATGTAAGCCCAGCAGGGTTCATACTATGACATTGTTTAATATGTAGGGAGAGACTGAGTGCTTTTAATGCTTTTTAAAATAGTTAACATGTTCTCCTAACCTAACCTTCAGTTGTCTAGTTGTACAACCCACATACTGGAGTCCACAATGGCACTGCAGTAAATAAGTAACTTGGGTTGTACCATATAAACGTATTTCATTTTTAATCAGTAATGATTGCTATATTTATGTGAATGTTTTGATTTTCTCTATTTTGTAGATATTTATGAAATCTCTATTTAATGGTGTTCAAGTAGATTGAGATGATAGGGGAAGATTCCTAATTTTTTGTTTAGATAGATTTATAGCTGCCTTATCTATTTTATTTTATTGATATTATCTGCATACTTAGGTTATATTTCGGGATTGTGCAATGTGGGAATTTTAGTTTTATAGGCCTTTACTGTTATACAGGGTTCTGTTAGAGAGGTTTAACCTCATTTCCTGTCCTGCTCACAACATTTTAGTAGATGGGGAAATGAGGGTGACTCTCCAACAGCAGCACCAACAGAAATAAAAATGGTTTTCTTTAGTACAGTAGGTCAGAGTTAGAATCCCTGTTAGAATTTATGTCAGTCTGTCTCTGACTGCAGGTGTGCTATACCCATTAGAACCATGTACTTTATTGCTTCTCCTAGTATTTTTGGCCTGATTTTCAATTAATACACTAAAACTGAAATTATGGTATATAGTACGCGTTGACGTGTTTTATAAATGCTTTTTGTTACTTTGCAGTTATGCGGCTGCGTCATTTTGGGTGTGTCCATATATCTGCGTGTTAGTAAAGATGCTCAACAGGTAAGTCTTATCACTGCCTGCAGGAGTTTACTCCATAATAGGTTTATTGTTTGTTGGTTATCCAAGGGATAGTGTACAAAAAGTGTACAAATAGACCAATTAACTATGCAAAACCAAACTAGTTAATTAACTGATAAATAAGAAATTCACATATTTGTAGTATATATGCAATTTTTTTAGAAAAAAGTGTGAAAGAAAAATATATATAGAAGTACCTTATGGTTGTGTAAATCAAACTTAAAGTCTGAACTATATCTCTCCAATCAGCCGCACAAAACCAAGGTCCATAAAAAAACAACTTTATTGTTGTAAATTCAATGCAAAGTTCAAAAAAAGTCTGAACTAACCATAGCCCTGAGGGTGGCTCTGTAATCTAGGCCAAAATGCAACATATTGTAAAAAAAATCTTACATCATGGGAATAAATGCAAAACAATGAAAACAATGGCAGGTGTGATACTCTTACATAGAGTAAGCAGGAAGTGCCAGTATACCTGTTTTGCAATCCCAAGCTGCAGCTAACAAAGCCAGTAGTTCACTATCTTGTATTAACAGAGGGATTTATTCACTTCCTGATTACAATCTGCCTAAGCATGCCAGATATATCTTAAGATATTGGATGAAAGTGACTAGTTCCCGAACAGCTGTGGCCTCTTAGCCTATACGAAGCAATGATAGGTTGACAGCAGTCACAGCAGTCCACCCGTGTTCGGATGTATTCACACATGCAGTGATGTCCTGCGGTTAGAGATCCAGGGGCGATGCAAGGTGTTTGAGGCATTATTGTACAGGAGCTTGGGGCTGGCTAATCACTGCCATATGTGAATCAATAATGATATTATTTTTAATTTAGAACTGCTATGTCTCTTTTCAGTTCCATTTTGTACATTTGCATCCTGCAAGCAGATACAATTATAGTGTGTCTAAACCCAAAAACAAAAATATATTGGAGCTTACCAGTCCTTAAAGCGGAACTGTACCCTTCTGCCCTTCACAGCCAAGGAAGGTGCCATCTTAGTCTCCATTTGGATTGCAGTTGCCACGATGCTGCACATGTGATCAGCTATGACACCAGCCATTTGAGGGCTTGAACGTTCAATTGAGAGCTGAAATAAGCACAATGGCAACATTGACAGTTGGACTGTCTTAAAAGTAACAATATTGGGAGACATTAAACTGGGTTGGAATCAACATTCAAACTCAGGAGCAGTTTGGAGAACATCCCACTGTTAGGCCTAGTTCACCTAGGTGAACCTAGGTGACAGCGTTTTTGCTGCACATTGTGCGCGTTTTGCACGTTTAATGCACATACAGCAAAATTTGTAAACAGATTGTAGTTCATTGATGTTAATGAACAAAAGCGCATAAAACGTGCAAAAACACTGCAAACGCGCATTTTCAAGCGTTTCATATTGAGTCTATGGAGCCAAAACAAGCTTCAATATGCCCCCAAAAAAGCTCCTGTACTTTTTCCAACGACAGGCTTTTCTTAGGAGTATTGCCAGTAGTTGCAGGAAGATTATGTAAACAGATTTGCTCATAAGTGGGTGCTAAAGAGGAACTGCAGTGTCAAACATACTGTCAAGCCATGCACTGCCAACTGGATGAGGAAGGGTTAGAAACCCTAAAACCCGCAAACTGAACCTAAGTACATTCCGATAAACAGTACCAGGGATCTGTCATTTTGTAGCGGTAGTGCTAGCACTGCAAATGACAGGCTTCTAGCAGTAAACTGGCCAAATACGCCAAACTGCAAACAGGCTGGATTTGGTTCAACTGACATTCAACCGGACCCAGAAGTTCGTCCCTAGGCTTAACAACTCACTTTACAGCAAAACCAGTAAAAAGTGAGTCTTTGGGGTTGATTTACTTAAGGCAAATAGACTGCTCACTTTACACAATAATTTTCCCTTAGATTAATGAATGTGGTGAAAACTCACTTTACAAAGAATACGCAATCACAGGCAAGGAAATAAAAAAAACAACTATATTTTTGCTAGCACATGATTGAATGATGATGGAAGTCGGCAGAGCTACACCCTATTCACTATACTAAAGAAAAATTCTCCAGCAAAGTGAACAGCCTATTTGCTTTTAGTAAATCATCTCCTTGGTGATTCTGTTCTGCTATATTGTATTTTACTACATGGGACTGAAACTGTCAACTCACAGTAAATCTTTCCTATCAACTCTACAATTTAATGTACTGATTACAACACGTTGCCTTCTCAACTTCCTGAATGGTACAGAGGTTATCTTACTGTATTATCAGTGTAAAGCTTTTATAGGTTTTATCATCCTGCCCAACCCACATATTTGCCATATTTGTGTCATAGTCATAAAGAAAAGTTCACAAGTGAAAAACACATTATATATTGCTCCAAATTTGTGAAATATATTGAAGAAAAATCAGTGTTTTTCTGTGCTAAGATATAGAACAAGAAGAGGGAGCTGCTGAAAACAAGAATTTCATCACTTAATAAAATAAGTGTGAGGTTTACTAATTTAATAAAAGAGTTTAGTGTTTACTTGGTGTACTGATCTCATCCAGAAATCTTAATTTTTGTTTATCGTGTAAATGGCTTCAACTCTATTTACAGAAGTTGTTCCTTTTAGTTACCATACCCCACCTTTAGAAATCAAGAAGTAGGCAGGGTCTGCAAGAAGTTAATGGTATGAGTTTCGATATAGATGTTGAGTTGAGAGAACTCTGCAGTGATGATTATTACAATTCTTGCATTGTTTGTATCTGACTAATGATTTTCTCAGCAAAAAGAGCAGTTCAATTTTCTAGTTATAGTTATGGTTAAGTGCACATGTTAAGTGTTCGACTATTAGTTAAGGTTAATTTAGCCATAGATTTTTCTAATTTAGCATACAGGCTGAACAAGAGAAATCTAATAGATTCCTCCATCCACACTGTTTAGTACCAGTTTAATATCCACCTGCCCACTATTGTATTCAGACAGCTGGCATCTGAACATTGGTTGCATCTAATTAGATGCAGTTGTTGTCTGGCCGATAATTTTCCAAATTTTAAATCATAGTTTGTTGAATCAGCCGTACCAGCCTGAAGTGAATAACCAAACAGCGTTCGGCTCACTTCACTTCAGGTCGGTCTTTCACTCGGCTGCCAACGGCAGCTTAGTGAAAAGACCCCTAAGATAATATATATTTAAGGACAGCAGCAACAAAAAAATATGTTATGATTCGTAATGTGCAGACTGGAAAACTGGGCTATCCCAAAGTGTGCAGACATTTTTTACTACTAGGCAAACTAGTCCACTCTATCATCTAGTAAATGAGAGCTTTGGACCCTTTCATATGTTTACATTAGATGGGAAACAGAGTACTGTCAGCAAGTTAGCAGATCCCACTGTACAGATCCCACTGTAAGAGGGCCACCCACACCTCAAATTGTGGCTGAATCGGAAGCAATTGCCTGAAATTTTAGCTAGGTATAGCTACCTTTAGGGTGAGGCTAACAATTATGTGATGGTCAGGTTAAGTATTACATTTCAGGGTTGAAGTTTAAAAATGTTTCCCTGCCGGTTGTGATTTTAAAATCCAATTATTTCTATACTGCTTTTTAGTGTTTGACTTAATAAGGAAATCTAGTACATCGCAGGGAGAGGAACAACAAATTACAGTGGGATCTGCTAACTTGCTGACAGTACTCTGTTTCCCATCTAATGTAAACATATGAAAGGGTCCAAAGCTCTCATTTACTAGATGATAGAGTGGACTAGTTTGCCTAGTAGTAAAAAATGTCTGCACACTTTGGGATAGCCCAGTTTTCCAGTCTGCACATTACGAATCATAACATATTTTTTGTTGCTGCTGTCCTTAAATATATATTATCTTAGGGGTCTTTTCACTAAGCTGCCGTTGGCAGCCGAGTGAAAGACCGACCTGAAGTGAAGTGAGCCGAACGCTGTTTGGTTATTCACTTCAGGCTGGTACGGCTATACATTGGGTGGCTCCACGTGGCTTCGGGTCGGCCGAACACTTAGAACTACTGTTATGACTTATTTGAATTAATTGGTTAAACAAGTCAAAAAATGCCCAAGAAGTGGGTATATCAGTGTTAGATCTCAAATCCAAAAATGTGCCTATTTGTTAATAACCCGTGCAGAAAAATGCAATTAATGATGAAAAAGCTGCTGAGTAACATCTATTTAATGTTATTTTGTTCACATGATTTTTGTGATAAGATTTACAGATTTACAGAAACTTTTGTTTGGTAAGTTTTGTCCATGTGATTTTGCGAGGAACTTTAAACTACTTCAACCTAATTTCCAAATAATGGAATAGCAGCCTCTAATATTGATTCTGGTTTTCCAAATTGCCAATAAGTACATTTTTTCAGAAATATTTCAGAACAATATAATAGTTTTTATTATTTTTTTTTTAAACATTAAACATTTTTATTTATGTACAGGTGAAACTCGAATAATTAGAATATCGTGCAAAGTTCACTTATTTCACTAATGCAACTTAAAAGGTGAAACTAATATATGAGATAGACTCATTACATGCAAAGCAAGATAGTTCAAGCCGTGATTTGTCATAATTGTGATGATTATGGCTTACAGCTCATGAAAACCCCGAGAACCCCAAATCCACAACCTCAAAAAAGTAGATTATTACATGCAATCAATAAAACAAGGATTGTACATAGAACAATATCGGACCTCTGAAAAGTACAAGCATGCATATGTACTCAGTACTTGGTTTGGGCACCTTTTGCAGCACTTACTGCAATTACTTTTGCACGATATTCTAATTATTCGAGTTTCACCTGTATTTACTCAAGTAGGGTTTCAAATGAAAACAAGTTATTGAATCAGAACCTTTGATTTATTTTAATAATTAGGGATGCACCGATATATCGGCTGCTGAAACATATCAGCCGAAAATGGCACTTTTTCATAATGCCGAAAGTGCCATTTTCTGGGCGATATAGCGGTGCATCCTATTCTCTCCTCCCAGCTGGGCGCTGCTCTGTGTCCAGGCGGGGAGAAGAGAAACTGTGACTGGCGGCCGAGCGCTGCAGGAGGAGAGTGCCGTAAGCAGCCGGCGTCTCTCCTCCCACACCGCTCAGTCTCCTATCACAGATCGGCAAAACGATGTGTGGGCGGAGACAGCCAGCGCTGTCACAGCAGGCTGAGCTCCTATCGCTCAGCGTCCTGTGACAGCATGTCAGGAAGGAGAGCGACAAAAAGGAAGACGTCACCAGATAACAACGATACTAACAGCAATTAGATGCTCATTTATTGACAGATGCTGTCTCTCAATGCATCTGTCAAAAAATGAGCATCTAACTGCTGTTATTATCGTTGTTGGAGTGCTGGTGACGTCTTCCCTTTTGTCAATATGTGGAGGCGCCATCCGCAGTCATTTCGAGCACCCGTCTTTTTGTGGGGAGTCCCGGTAAGGAGTGCGGCAAGTTTTTTTTTTCTTTTCTTTTTGAAATATGGAATGCTTCACGAATTTGCGTGTCATCCTTGCGCAGGGGCCATGCTAATCTTCTCTGTATCGTTCCAATTTTAGTATATGTGCTGCCGAAGCAAGCACGAGTGCGGCAAGTTTTCTTTTCTCTTATTCAAGGAAGGAGAGCGAGGTACAAGCACTCAGCGATCAGTTTACTGTATTCCCAATTATGAATGAATGGGAAGTGATCTACATCACCTACTGTTCATTCATGATTGTGGTTATAGTAAATGTACTCTGTTCTTATGTTATGAATGAACAGGAACACTCATAGAGGATTCCAGAAAAAGAGATTGAGGACTCTGGGGTCTATTCAAGAAGCTGTAGGTTCGGCTGATCCTTCGGCTAGCTTCGGCCCCAGGACCCCTCAGGTTCAGTAGAACTGAAGGGGTGCTGTACGAGCTATTCACAATAGCCCGTACAGCTCCCGATCATGGCCGAGCGGCTCAGCCGAGCCGATCGCATATGCATCG